CCCCCCCCAACCCAGGGCTGGACACATTAATATGGGACTCAGGAGCCAGTCTGTCCAATCCAGGAGCCAACAGAACTTTTTTTGGGGAGCCAGCTCCATTGACAACAACTGGAGAGCCTCAAAAGTTAGGCGCCAGCTGCGAGTTTGAAAGGAGCATTGGCAACCTGGCTCCTGGGATTTGGCCAGCCCCGTATCAAATATTAATGGCAGTTGCTTTGCTAACAATAACTAGGCACATGCTGGCCCCGCAACGGCTCATTGTTTGTGGTCACCACTCATCTCAAAGGCTTCCTCAGCTTGACTGAGAGGAAGATATTACCCAGCATGAAATATGTATGAGTGATCTCATCACCATCATTCTACCACCGTGATGATTACGGTGGCTGACAATTCCTACTATTCACATCAACTGATCACAACTGCAATTTTATTACCCCATAAACCTTCTCAGGAAGAGGGGGCAGCCCCCAATTTACTTGGGGCAATAATAATAATAAGAGGAGCTCCTTCTCTAGCCCGCTAGCAGTATATCATGAGAACACGGACCATCCTGTATGAAGCGCCATAACTTAGAGTGACCTTACAAAGAGCTGCAGCAGCTGTAGTCTGCATCATAGGAGAACGTCCCATCTGTGTGTGAGCTGTCACCTGAAATAAAAGGAAACGAATATGAATGCATATCGTGACCTATCCAAGGTATACAGCCTAGAATATAGCCAGCGTACTCTATATCAGGGGTAGCCAAACGTCAGCCCTCCATCTGTGGTGAAAGCATTTGCCTCTGGGAGTCGTGGCTGTCAGTCTTGCAATGCCTCATGGGACTTGTAGTTCCACAACAGCTGGAGGGCCAAGGTTTAGCTACCCCTGCTCTCTAGGATCTCTCTGCAGCCTCGGAAAGAGAGAGGAGCAAATGTCTGATGGCTTGCTGAGTCCTTGCAGAAATGTTCGGATGGATTCACACAGCGGGGCAAATGATGTCACAGTCGCTTATATGACTGCGTTTCGGGCGGTGACATATCAAACTAGTGTGCTGTTCAAGAAGATTAAAACAGAGGGGAGGTGAAAAGGTGTCCCAAGGGCGCTGGGCATGTATTATACGCGTATATAAAACATGGCTGCAGCACCGTGAGCCCCTCCTGTTGGTGTATGTACGGCCTGGGTGTACAGGCTTGAGCATTCGGTCTGGGATAGATCATTGTCCCTGGACACAATCTGTCAGCATCCATGGACAATCATCTTTCCCGAATCACAGATACTCATTCCTTGAACGATCACATGCAGATAGCCGCTGATAGATGGGGCCGTTGTCAGCCTGTCATTTCCTTGAACCAGGTGAATCGGGGATTCCTACCACAAGAATCCACAGGTTCTTACTGCAGGAATCTCAAGCCACAGCCAGGCCCGGATTCCACACAATGCCACCGAGGTCCGGCCTCGGGGTGGCAGGGCACAGAGGGGGGGCACCGGTGTCATTGTGGGGAAGTTGCCCTCTCTACATTCAGTCCTGCTTTGTACAAGCAGGACTGAATGTAGAGTGAGGCAGACGATTTTTAGTTTACATGTGAAATCGGCGATGTCGCTGATTTCACATGTAAAATGTGTGCAGCCTCTCCCCCTCCACCCTGCACTTACCTCTCTCCTCTATTCCGTCCTCCGCCGCCGAGTCCCGAGTCTCTGACTGCAGTGAGCAGAGGGTTATAAGTAACCCTGCCGCTCCGTGTAGACAGTGAGAGGGGAGAGCTGTGCTGTGCTGTGCGGTGCTCTTCCTCTCTCACCTGTCACAGGAGTTCAAGCACAGCGCTGTGCTAGAACTCCTGTATTGGAGGTGACAGGGTAAATAAAGAGAACCTGTCACCTCCAATTGCTATCACACAGGGGATTGTTTTCTCCTGTGTGATAGCAATAAAGTTAGGTGGAAAAAAATTTTGATTGATACAAAATTTAAATAAATAAAAAAAAATGAAATAAATAAAAAAGTAATTAAAAAGTAAAAAAAAAAAACAGATTATTAAAAAAGAAAATAATGATAAAAAATAAACAATAATAAGATAAAAAAATATTTAAAAAATTAAATTGATAAAAAAAATAATGAAATAATTAAAAAATAACATAAAAAGTGATAAAAAAGTTTTAAAAAACTTAAGAAACAGTAAAAATTATTGACACTAACCCCGCCGCCCTGCCATCTGGTTGCCATTCTCCATTGATGGAAAGGGAGTGGGGGTTCGCGGGTTGCGCATCACAGGACCTGGCCTTGGGGCGGCAGGGAGAGTAAATCCGGCCCTGGCCACAGCATAAAGCCCACGTCAATGTAGCCTAACTCTGCATACTCAGTGCTTGCCTGTACCTTCCCATGGTATTACATCCGCCATTTACCATTGTGTTCTCTTACAGAGGCGGTGCGCCCCAAATGATAAATGTCACATATACACCTGTGTGCACAGAACCCAACCAAGGTGAAGTGGAATGCTCGTGGACAGAATAATCTGTTTTATGCCAACGGTTTCAAAGGCTCCTGAGAATGCAATTGTCATTTACACAGGAGGATGAATAAATACGATTAATAATTCATAGGACTACATTTCATCAATTTAACAGGAGCCAGCAGTTAAAGTCTGGAAGACGGAAAGATTTTACTAGTGCACAGTACATTGGCAGTGGCTGCAAATACTCTGCCTATGCATTGGAGATAAAACGTTAATGTGTCACCTTCTAGATTCGGAAGAGTCAGTCCATGAGTCACATGTAACTTGCCATCTGAGTTTAGTATTACACAGCAATATGAATGCCAACAGCGACAGCCAAATCATTCTACATTAACTAAGGTGAATTGCTGCATGCCCAAGTGCCCGTGATGGCAGGTCCTCTTTATAATAACAGGGAGGGAAAAAAAAAACACAGGTCATGGAATACTCCCCCAGCCCCCACAATCTTACATCGGGACAACCATGGTCTTTCTGGTGGTGATGTATAATGGTACCCAGCGCGGTCTACGCATTCAATGCTCTGGTCTCCGTAGATGATTTGGAATACTTGGCAGATGAGAGCGCAGGATTCTTCGGCAGCGTCCTGATAGGATACAGAGAATGGCTTAGATGACATGCAGGGCCAAACACTCACAAGCCGCTCTTTCATAAACACAAACAAGTTAATTTAGCACCTTCCCCCCCAGGTAGGTCAGGTGAAGGGTTATTTAATTCATTATGGATGGCTGGTATGGTCCCAGAACTTGTATATATTCTGGCAAATCCTTTCTCAGTCAGAGCAGCCTACATTCATGATACTTAAAACGTCTTACAGATCAATTCACCTTCAAAGGAATAGGTGGGCATTCTGTATTATTCATCAATTCAGTAAATCATTCAAGAAGAGATCGAGAGAGAGCGAGCAAGAGAGCGATAGAGAGAGCGAGAGAGATATAGAGAGAGCGAGAGAGATATAGAGAGAGAGAGAGAGAGAGAGAGAGAGAGAGGGAGAGAGAGGTAGAGGGAGAGAGAGGTAGAGGGAAAGAGAGGTAGAGGGAAAGAGAGGGAGGGAGAGGGAGAGAGAGAGAGGGAGAGAGGGAGGGAGAGAGGGAGAGAGATAGAGGGAGAGAGATAGAGGGAGAGAGAGAGATAGAGGGAGCGAGAGAGATATAGAGAGAGCGAGAGAGATATAGAGAGAGCGAGAGAGATATAGAGAGCGAGAGAGAGGGAGAGAGAGGTAGAGGGAAAGAGAGGGAGGGAGAGGGAGAGAGAGAGAGGGAGAGAGGGAGGGAGAGAGATAGAGGGAGAGAGAGGGAGAGAGAGAGATAGAGGGAGAGAGAGAGATAGAGGGAGAGAGAGAGATAGAGGGAGAGAGAGTGAGGGGGGGGGGAGAAATCGAGAGAGTGGGGGAGTGACAGAATGAATGGCATGCTTTCTAAATTGGTGCTATAGTATGAAATGAAATGGAATTTTCGCCCTTTCACTATTCAAAAAGAATTAAGAAAAGGCTCCTAAATGCTTAACCTTGCTGCTCCATTCATCTCTGCTGTGCTGAAAGTACACTTCCAGGAGTGTTGATGCCTGGTTCCCCCTCCACGCTCTGTGATTCTTCCACTGTAGTGATACAGGGTGTCCCCCCCTGCCCCCCAAGCACCATCAGTGGCGGCAGTTGCATTGGGGCATTGCCCACCCCTTTGTGACGTATAGCAGTGGTGAATGCGCCTGCTGCAACTGACTGGCTCAAGAGGGTGTGTGGATGGGGATGGTGGTCACAGTTTTGGTGGAACTGCGTTCCCAGCAAACCATGGCTCATCACTACCAGGCATCTGACACTCCTGGACGTTGCTGAGCAGCTCTTGAAGATCATCAGTGTGCGCAGGAGAGTATTGAATGCTTTGTTTGCAGGGAAGGCATAGCTGCCTCTGGGATTGTGAAGGTTTGTTGGCAGTACAAGGCAAGCCAAGGATTAAGAAAGACTGTGCTAGATTTAAGTGACATTTTAGGATGTAACAACCCATAACTCACCCTGTTCTCTACTGCCAGGATGATAAGGTTGCAGTAGGCATCTGCACAAGGTTCCTTTGGATCTAAAGGGTTGTGCCCTGTGTGCCGCTTCTCCCAGCTGCCACCACAGGTCTGACGCCTTTCCCAGCTGCCACCACAGGTCTGCCGCCTCTCCCAGCTTCCTCCACTAGGCTGACGCTTTTCCCAGCTACCTCCACAAGGTTGCCGCCTCTCCCAGCTGCCTACGCAGGGCTGTTGTCTTTTCTCCCAGCTTCCCCCACACGGCTGCCTCTTCTCCCAGCTGCCGCTGAAGGTCATTCTCCTCTCCCAGTTGGGGCAGGCCTGCCCTCCCTGTCTCTTCTCCCAGCTTCCATTCTCCTGTTTTCCTCCTCGCCTCTCCAAGCTGCCTCCTCCTTTGGGTCGCCCATCTGATGTCCTATGAGCCATTTTCCAGTCCAAGCTGCAGATAGTGTGGCGCCTCTCCATGGCGCCCCCCACAGGCTTGGCGCCTGCTCTGTCGGCCTTGCCGGCGGGTGGCTTTCGCTCGAGACTACTTGCTGCCGGCACCGGGTCCAATCCGAGACCTGAATTAAATAACGATGTACAAAGTAAATCAGAAGTCTAGCACAAAAACCTGACATGAAACTATGTAATGCTAGGAAATCTCTTTATCCAATGGCTGTATACATATATCTAAAAGTCCAAAAGCAATGAGTCCAATCTAGGAACCAGTAGGCACCAAGAAGCCAGGAAATGGAGTGGGGTGCAGGGTGATAAAGAGAGTGCATGAATGATTTTACAAATCCTTTGCTTGTATTACCGTTGCTGTGCTTGATATGAGTAGCTATTTGGCTGAATGTACTTTTAATCAGCTTCCAAAGTGTTGAATCCCCGGACTGAAATTCTGGTTCCCAGCTCCACCAACCAGCCCCAGCCTTTGCATGAAGTCCTCATGAGAAGGGATACTGCATCTTCTTGTCCCAGTGACACCCTCTCCTCTCATTTTCTGTCTGGCTGTCACAGGGACAGGAAATGAGGTGGAATCTCCCCAATGGGGAAGTATGACAGAAGCATGTTTTGGCTGGAGTCTGGCTTTAATGTCCATTATAGAGAAGGGTGGAGGAAGAGAGTGGCGCAGGGACCCGAACCCTTGAAGATAGAGATCCTTTTGGGAAACGCAAAGTTTTCTCTCCCTTCCACTTGTTCCCCTAGCATATGTTTTGGAAGGTTTTAGGTTGTGTCTGAGCCGGCATCTCACTCTTGGAAGGAGAGTGTAACCTTGGATGGATGGATGGATGTCAGAGTTGTCAGGGGGAGTACTGTGATCTCTGTGAGAGGTAATAATTACCTGGTGTGGGCACATTACTTGTCATGCTGCACTTACCATGAAAACTTATATCCACTTTAAACTCCATCTCACAGACGCCGGTGAGTACAAGCGCCGAAGTTGTCCCTCATTAAAAAGCAAGCAGCCCCAGTTTCAGTTGACATGGCAGCGGTTAGGTCAAACCGGGTAAATAGAAGATTCAGAGCGAGAGTAATCACAAGACGGGATAACGGAATAGAACATTCAGAAGATTTAAAAAAAAAGAAGTCTTACAGAAACTAGTCTGAAAACAGATTCACGGACACAGGGGGATAAGGAAGCGAGACACGGTGGGGACACAGAGGACATCTAAGGATCCGTGCACACAGCCGTTAATGAAGGACATTTTTGACGGCTGAATAGAGGCAGTTATGTTCACGCGGGTGACACGGAGGAGCTGAGGGCAGGAGTGGAGTGAGGAAGTAGATTAGCTTCTGCAGTACCCATCCCCTCCTCTACATAAAGACAACTCAGGTCGGTGATAACAATAAGTCCAGCCTGTCAGTCATGCCTGAGGTAGAGATTTCCTCCTGCACCCCCCCCACTCATAAAATGTATATTTTGTGTGGAGTAGCTGTCAAGACTGTTTATTTGGGGGGGGGACCAGGGAAGGTAAAATATAAAACAGAATAACCTACAACTTTAAGGCATGACTAACTACTAGGAACAATATCTCACTTTTTTTGCTACAAAAGGTTAAAAGAGACTTCAATCTATCAAATTCAACCTCAAAGAACAAAAAAAAAACAAACACATTTCATGTCAGAAACACTTGTTGATCTAGTTGCCTGGGGAAGTGACGGGTTCTCTTTAATATGGTTGATCTCAACACGTAATACCTGTCCTACCACAGAGAGAAAATGAGACAACCAGCCGCAGGCACCTGTTTTGAGGACGAGAAGGTGGAGCGCGTCGTCCCTGACGTAGGAAGCAGCGGCGATCTCATGAGTGGGAATCCGCAGGATCAGCTCCTCGTTGTCCCTCCAGGTCAGTAGGAGGCTGCGGGCGGACATGCTGAGGATGCTGTCCTGCTCCGGGGTGCAGTGCAAGGGCAGCTCCTTCAACTGCTGTGGGGACAAGAACAAGTGACAGTCATGTGACATCCATCTCTCTTCTAGGCTAAGCTGCCTTCTGGTGCAGGGAAATTCAGTGAGGGGGTTAGAGACTAACTCCGCACATTCCTGTCTGTACCAAACACAACACAACCCAGAAACATGTCAGCTCCTTTGGTGGAGAGCATTATTTTGGATTATGATTTTGCATTGCCTCAAACACAAACAAGTGCGCGACGGGTGTGCCCAATGTGTGCCCATGGGGTGATCTTATAAAAGGCAGGTGATTTTAGGTGCATGTTTTTCCCTAGGTTCAGGGGTGCATAAAAGTGCAGGATGGGTGTACCCCATCCGTGCCTTTGGGGTATTCTTATAAAAGGCAGGTGATATTAGGTGCATTTTCCCCCCTAGGTTCAGGGGGCACATAGACGTGCAGGACGGGTGTACCCCATCTGTGCCTATGGGGCATTCTTATAAAAGGTAGGTGATATTCGGTGCATTTTTTCCCTAGGTTCAGGGGGCACACAGAAGTGCAGCATGGGTGTACCCCATGGGGCATTCTTATAAAAGGCAGGTGATTGTAGGTGTATTTTCTCCTCTAGGTTCAGGGGTGCATACAAGTGCAGGACGGGTGTACCCCATCTGTGCCCATGGGGCATTCTTATAAAAGGCAGGTGATTTTAGGTGCATTTTCCCCCTAGGTTCAGGGGGGCACATAGAAGTGCAGGACGGGTGTACCCCATCTGTTCCTATGGGGCATTCTTATAAAAGGCAGGTGATATTTGGTGTATTTTTCCCCTAGGTTCAGGGGTGCATAGAGGTGCAGGACGGGTGTACCCCATGGGGCATTCTTATAAAAGGCAGGTGACTGTAGGTACATTTTTCCCCTAGGTTCAGGGGGTGTATACAAATGAGGACTTTCATCTAACAATTCTGTCTGGACTAAGTCAAGAGCCAGAGAAAATAAGTGACAAGATATTTAAAGACGACATAAACTCAATGACTGAAATTTCATAGAAGATGCAACATGTCCTTTCCAAAGTTGTCTTCTATCCTTTTGAATCTGTGGCTTTCATTAAAATAATCCCAGGTCCTTGTTCAGACACTTCCTGTTAATCCCAATCCCAATTGTGCTCCTACATTGTCACCCTGTCACATGCGCCCTGGTAGAGACTACAAGCAGTTGTGCCGACATATATTGTGCAACCATGATCCATTGTTGTCACTATCTGGATGCTGGTCTAGAACAATGCCCTACGGCCAAGGCTGGAGTGAGGGCATGTAGACCAGGGGTAGGCAACCTCGGCACTCCAGCTGTTGTGGAAATACAAGTCTGATGAGGTATTACAAGACTCTAAAAGCCACAGGCATGACTCCCAGTAGCCTAATAGCTAGATCAGGGGTAGGCAACCTTAGCACTGCAGCGGTGTTGAAACTACAAATCCCCATCGTGTCTCAAATCCCCAGTCATGCCTGTAGCTCTCAGTCTAGCTGTGCCCTATGGGATTTGTAGTGTTAGCACAGCTGCAGTGCCAAGGTTGCCTACCCCTGATGTAAACATTTGCAGATCTGACTCCTCGGCTTCTATAAACTGGAATTAAAGATCTTTTCACCTGCTGGTATCCTTGACCCTGCAGGCACTCTATACAGGTTTTAGAACAGAGAGCCTTACCCGAGCTGTGTCCAGGAGCTGCAAGATTTCATCTCGGCTAGATGGATTCAAGGAGGCGACTACCCAAGTCAGGTGACCTAAGAACTGGAGGATGAGAGGATTCAATGGGACAAGTAATGCACTGAAATCTGTGTCCACGCAGTGACAACTGGGGACTCTTTGGGGCTTTGTCTATCAAGCACTTATAGTAGGTAGAACACAAAACCAGTACTGTTACATAGGGACCAGAAAGTAGAGAAGAGGGGGAAACATTAATAATATAGGAGGACAAGACACAAGAAGAGCTATGTCAGGATGAAGAATATCCATACGTCATACAGAATAACACAACTTAACATATAGGGGTCTATTTTTGCTCACAGAGTGAACATCTCTGCAAATGTGATCCGTAGTGTGTTATATGGCCACTAGATGGAGCCAAAGTGCATTGGAATTTCCTATCAGCTCCATCTAGTGGCCATACTGTGCTGGGAATCTTATTCGCAGAACTGTTCCCTCTGCGAACATTAAATAAACAGATAGTAAAGTATGTCAACAGCACACCGTGGTTCAATCTTCAAGCGGTGATCATTTTATTGATGTGCACACATCTTGTCACATTGCAGCGTTTCAGGACCACACAGGGTCCCTTCATCAAGCATGACATTGAGTGGCCCCGAAACATAGCAATGTAACAAGATGCGCGCATCAATAAAATGAACACTGCTTGAAGATTGAACCACGGTGTGCTGGTGACATACTTTACTATTTGGATTTGAATTGGTGCCATCCGCAGTCACTACAGCACCCACCACAAGGGACATACCAGTAAGGAGTGTGGCGGGACTCTTCCGCATTTAATAAACAGACCCCTTCAAAATGAAAGGAGATCTAGAGTCAGAATACTGGCTTTAAGTGTAATGAAAACCCATATATACACCTATCGGGGCCCGTTCACACCAGATGCAGTGCGTTACGGCCCAATTCTAGCCAGAACGCACTGCCTCGCATTGCGGCCAGCTCACTTTTTTTATAGGGCAGGAGGGGGCGTGGCGGGCCATTGAAGTGAAAGGCACCGTAGTCACGCCCTCTGGCTGCAATGCGATTAGCCGGATCGGTCCGGTGCGATCAAAATAGTGCTTGCAGCATTTTGATCGGAGCGGACCGCAGGCATAATGTGCCGTGCGATCCAGTGCAGCCAATTGCATTGCGAACAGAGGGCGTGCTACGGTGCCATTCACTTCAATGGCCCGCCACGCCACCCTCCTGCCCCACAAAAAAGTGAGCCGGCCGCAATGCGAGGCAGTGCGTTCTGGCTAGATTCGGGCCGGAACGCACTGCATCTGGCGTGAACGAGCCCTCGAACTTCTGTATTGTAAAATAGATTCAGCAGCCTCTTTCCATCTCCTTTCCCTTTTCATAGTTTCAAAAAAATCAGGGCAGCTGCCATTGTTGCAGACACACATAAGAAGTCTTCAGCTGCCATGCAAATGTAATGTCTGGGCTTCTGGTGTGTGTCTGGGGTGGGAAATGGCGGCCTTTGGGTGAGTCTGCTCTCTGATTGTACATTACACATAATGTATGTCCCAGATATTGCAGTGTTAGGGACCGCACATAACAGAGGTGACGTGACGCGGCAGTGTGGCTTCCCAGTAAATGTATGTGACTGAGACCTCCGTTTTATGTGAGTAGTTGAACCGATTAGTTTGTTGTTGGCTGGCTTGTGTGCTGGGGCCCCAGTCTGTATTGCAGTCTGTGTCAGTCCCACTGCGGTGATCTCACTTCCTGTCTCACAGACACAATAACCAGGGGAGAGGAAATCCCACTTTGACAGTTGTCACTGGAACAGGTGTCTTAATTGAGAGATTTCCTCCTGTCCTAATGGCAACTGTTACCAGTCCACTGAGCCAGCCTAATGGACAATATAAACCAGACAGGGGTTTTAAATGGTCATAAATCATTCATCACCCGTACCATTTAATATAGATCTTCAGCTAAAACGTTTCTATTTCAGTTTTCTATGTGCGTGGACAGATGAAGGGGGTTAAAGCACCTTTCTCGTGTTTTTTGCTGCTGTTTCAAAACCCGATGGTGCGATTTCCTCACTTCCTGATGTGTCATAAGGACAGGAAGTAAGGTAAAATCTCAGTAAAGGTAACACAGACGGCAATGAACCCGACAAGAGATCCCCACACTCCATCCCAATGTAAATAAAAAAGAGCCCGGGCTTCCATTTTCAGCTCCTCACCTTCACTTCTTTCTCCACATAGTCATGCAGCAGGATCTGAGGGTCCAGCAGGTAGTCAGGGGGCATGACAGGCGCGGAATGGAGAGGACGTCGGTAGGTGCTGTTCTTTGCCGCAGAGCGCCGGGCAGATTTCAGTGACACCAGTCTCTTTAGTGGGGAGACCAGAGCCTGCCGGTGACAGGTTACAGTGTAAGAATAACGTAGATCATAATGACATCATCTGGCTGCTCCGCAGTGTCCGAAAATGAAATACATGAAAATAAGAATCCCAACTGGAAAAATAGAAATGGTTTATAAAGGGCAAAAGAGACGCGCTTGGAAATCGATCTGACAGAAGAAAGACAATGCAGAAATATCATTATTATTATTGGTGGGATATAAATGTAATGTGGAGGAGATCATGTAAATCAGAAATCTGACAACGCTGGAAACACAGTCTATCTCTCTATCTATATCTCTGACAATTGTAGGCGGTGAGCTCCTCCGAGTCAGTGTTCTGTTAAGTCCTTTCTGATAGATAGATAGATAGATAGATAGATAGATAGATAGATAGATAGATAGATAGATAGATAGATAGATAGATAGATAGATTATAGATACATAGAATATAGATAGATAGAATATAGATATAATATAGAGAGATAGATAGATAGATAGATAGATAGATAGATAGATAGATAGATAGATAGATAGATAGATAGATAGATAGAATATAGATAGATAGATAGATAGATAGATAGATAGATAGAATATAGCTAGATAGATATCCTGGTACAGACGAGAAATGTCCATATATCTTGTAGCACTTCTTACCCGATATCCCCCAACAAATAACGGGTGCTGGAAGTGACTGCGGATGGCGTCGATCTCAGTGAAACTTGAATAAAGATGTCACCAGCACAAAAGGTTTCCAAATCAGTACAAATCCATTTTCTTGATAGATGTCACTCAAACGACAAGTGCTTTCGGGGCCACGCAGGGTCACCTTCATCAGGCTCAGAGATGGCAGTGTCATCTCCGAGTGGTCCCACAAGCGCTTGTCGTTTGAGTGACATCTATGAATAAAATGGTACAGAGAAGAGTTTGCACAGATGTTTCTTCAGTATTGCTTCCCATGTCCGCCATTTGTATTCCACTATACTGTATATAGAATGTTCTTGTCCTACCTTCTTTCCTTTCTTTGCCTGTTCCATGCTCTCTCCCTCCTTCTCCGGCTTGTGCGCTCCTTCTTTCGGGCTCTTGCTGCGGCTCTGGATTCAGTCCTTGCTCTGTCGTGGTCTCCAGTGTCTGGCTGGCTCGGCCTCCTCTTCCTCTTCATACTCGATATCCTTTGTTATTTTCCCAGAGAGGAAACTCCACCAGGTCAGGACTCAGTTCCTGCCTCTGTCCGGAGTGATAAGAACAGATTGCGGAGACCAGGAAGAGCTTACAGGAGGCTATGGGAAGACAATGGAGGACAGGCTATGTCATGGAGGTATAGGAGGCAGGACAGCTGGCAATCCGCAGCCTTCTATATAGTGATGAAAAAGCCATTCTAATAAAGTTTTCTGTGTAATGTCCCCTCTGCAGAGACTCAACAATGTCCTACTCAACAGGAAGAGGTGAGAAATCCAAAATGTTACAGTTGTCACCAGAAACAGGAAGTGAGGGAATATGTTCCAATGAGTCACCTGTGTCTGTGACAGCTGTCCAAGAAGAGATTACTCTCACTTCCTGTTGTGTCTTCTTTATAGACAGGAAGGAGGTTTTGCTTATTTCTTGAGGTTCTAACTCTTCCCTACTCTAACAAAACAGCTTTCACTGCAATTTTACTTTGAAGCTGACCTCCATCCTTCAGTCTGCTTTCTGAACTCTGGCCTTCCCTTCAGTCTTCTATCTGACCTCCGTCCTTCCCTTCAGTCTTCTATCTGACCTCCGTCCTTCCCTTCAGTCTTCTATCTGACCTCCGTCCTTCCCTTCAGTCTTCTATCTGACCTCCGTCCTTCCCTTCAGTCTTCTATCTGACCTCCGTCCTTCCCTTCAGTCTTCTATCTGACCTCCGTCCTTCCCTTCAGTCTTATATCTGAACTCCGTCCTTCCCTTCAGTCTTCTATCTGACCTCCGTCCTTCCCTTCAGTCTTATATCTGAACTCCGTCCTTCCCTTCAGTCTTATATCTGACACCTGGCCTTCCCTTCAGTCTTCTATCTGACCGCCAGCCTTCCCTTCAGTCTTATATCTGACCTCCGGCCTTCCCTTCAGTCTTCTATCTGACCTCCGGCTTTCCCTTCAGTCTTATATCTGACCTCCAGCCTTCCCTTCAGTCTTGCAGAGTTGTACCGGCTCCTCTCCTGGACTGAAATGGCTTCCTCTGATATCACTGCACAATGCGAGCTTCTCTTCTGGTGAGTCATTACACGCCGCCCGGCTTCCTTAAAGGGACTTTCGGTATTGGTATTCGATATCGGCGAGTACCAAACAAAAAAAATATCGGTACTCGTACTCAATACCAAAAAAAAAACTGTATCCCTAGTTTCCACCAAAACAGAAAATGGCGGGAAATCCAATATTTTGAATAATATTTCACCAGAACACAAGGCGAGGTTGTATCTTCCAATGGTTGATTGAAAGCTCTCCCAGGCCGGGTCCTCCCATCCCTCTGCATGGCATTTTTTCAGCTCTCAAGCGAACGTTCAAGCCCTCAAATGACTGGCGTCATACCTGATCACGGGCACCCCTCCCCCCCCCAGTTTTTCGTTTGTGCTTTATCCAGTCAGGAGTGCAATGGGATCTACTACATTCTGCTATATGCGGACAGTGCAGAGTCATGCTGCACCCCACTACCTGACTGACAGCGGGCTCTGCCTCTCTAGAGTCAGAGCCAGATGTGCCGCCTGCCCGCTCCCTCCCCTGTCTGTCCCTCCAATGAGTGCTGGAGGAACAGAGACGGGAGGGGTGACCGACGGTTAATGCTCTGTGCAGGGAGATGATCGGGAATTGAGTGTTCAGCGGTTTCTGATCGTTCAGTTCTTGATCTATAGAGCCGTTGTGTCACAGCTTCAGTGTCGCACTCCACCTCTAACTATAGGGATGAAGGAAGTTAGTTCCCTCCAAATAAATGTAATATGTTATTATTGAACATAGAACTCCATGAATTGATGTTTTATGTACTGTGGATGTAGCATTTTTATAGAGTTCTCTTCCAGGTTTCTTCTATCTTCTCATGCACAGTGTAGATGACAGCAGCCTCAGGAGAGCAGTGGCAAAGTCCCTTAATATCAGACACAGAATACTATATAATAATAAAATAAAACAACCAAATTGTGAGATCGTTATTAAATACGCTGTGCGCACAATTATTAGGCAAGTGAGTATTTTGACCAAATCACCATTTTTATGCATATTGTCCAACTCCAAGCTGTATAAACTTGGTCTTATTGGATGTCAGCATATCAGGTGATGTGTATTTATGTAATGAGGGGGGTGTGGCCTTAGGAGATCAACACCCTATATCAAGGTGCGCATAATAATTAGGAAGCTTCTTTTCCTCAGGCAAAATGGGCCAAAAAAAAGACAACTGACAAGTCAAAAATTGTAAAAAATTCTTTCAGAGGGATGCAGGACTCTTGAACTTGCTCAGATATTGGGGCGTGACCATAGAACCATCAAATGTTTTGTTGCAAATAGTCAGCAGGGTCGCCAGAAACGTGTTGAGAAAGAAAGACGCCAAAGATTTGAGAAGAATGAAACGTGAAGCTCCCAGGAAGCCGTTATCCTCCAGTGCCGTCATATTCCAGAACTGCAACCTACCTGGAGGGCCCAGAAGTACAAGGTGTTCAGTGCTCAGAGACATGGCCGAGGTAAGGAAACCCGACCACCACTGAACACACGTCAGGACTGGGCCAAGAAATATCTGAAGACGGATCTTACAAAGGTTTTATGGACTGATGAGTTCAGAGTGACTCTTGATAGACCACATGGTCCGTGGCTGGATCAGTAAAAGAGCTCCACTTCCACTCAGACGCCAGCAAGGTGGAGGTTGGGTACTGGTATGGGCAGATATTATTAAAGATGAGCTAGTTGGACCTTTTCAAGTTGAAGATGGACTTAAAATCAACTCCCACACGGTTTAAACCTTTGTACATGATTCAGGAATTCACGGCTCCCTACTATGAAACTATATAAAAAAAAAAAATTTGGGAGAATCCCAGGGGATAGTTATGTGGAAGGGCAATATGCGTAGTATAGAGTTCACAGATGTTATTATGAAAACTAGCCTTTAAGGATGTTGATGGATGTAAAGGGATGCGCAATATGTATGTAACTCAGTATTAATACTTTTATCATCTTTGATATGTGTTAAAATTTGAAAATAAAATAAAATTTTATTGAAAAAAAAAAAATCAACTCCCAAAACTACTGCCAGGTTTTAGAAGACACTTTCTTCAAGCCGTGCTACAGGAAAACGTCTGACCATGATATGTATGCAGGACAATGCTCCATCGCATGCATCCAAGTACTCCACTGCGTGGCCAGCCAGTAAAGGCCTTAAAGATAAAAGAATAATGACATGGCCGCCTTCCTCACGTGACCTAAACCCTACTGAGAACTTGTGGGCCCTTCTTAAACGGGAGATTTACAGTGAAGGAAAACAGTGCACCTCTCTGAACTGTGTCTGGGGGGCCGTCGTTGCTGCTGCTCAAAAAGAAAATCGTCAACAGATGAATGGATGGGAGGCTGAGGACTGACAGACTCCATGGATGGGAGGCTGAGGACTGGCAGACTCCATGGATGGGAGGCTGAGGATTGGTATTGGTCACTGATTTTGTGTTTGAAAATGTCAGAAATGTTTATTTGTAAATTTTGAGTGGTTCGTTTCTTATTCTCACTGTAACAGATGAAAATAAACAAGTGAGACGGGAACAGGAGGAACATTTTCCATCTAGCTGTATAATAATCCCGCACACTAAGGTCTCGTTCACACCTAGGCGTATTGCATATGCGCGACCGTCGCGCATTTTTTTTTTACCGCGGTAAAAAAAGTTGCGCGTTTCCGAAAGCTACTTGGCTGTATCCCAATGGAAACGCGTTTTCTAGCGCGTTAGGGAGGGGCGGAAATACGCCAAGGTGGGAACGAGACCATTGAATACAATGGGATTGAGAAGTTTGAGCGTTTTGTAGAGCGTTCGTCGAGCGTAGAACGCGCTACAAAACGTTCAGGTGTGAACGAGGGCTAATAGTTGTCCAATAATTGTGCACACCCAAATATTCCCCTAAAGCCAAAAGCTCACTTTTACCTTCTTAAATATACAGGTTCGAGGTTTAGTAACATTTTGGATTGACGGAGAGCACTGGAGTTGTTTAATAATGAAATTAATCCTCCAAAATACAACTGGCCTAATAATTGTGCACACAGTGTAAGCTTATGGCCATGGAAAGTGACTGCACTTATCCCTCTCGTTCCATTGGTTAGCAGGTGGAAGTTTATTTTTATAAAAGAAGAATACGAGGCCCGGAGACGTCATATTGAAATCATGTTTATTATTTTCATGTAGCACCAAATGAAAAATATACAAAAGAGTCCGTGTGTACAAAAGAAAGATTCCTAGAATCCTGATATCGCTCCAATATGATAAATATCTTGTGCACGTTACAGGGGGGACGACGGTGACGGAGCTGTGACAACACTTGCAGTGAACAATCAGAACTCAGGCACTCGAAACAACAAGACATAGAAATCAGCAGCTCAGAATCGAAGTCGGACGACCAATCACAGGCCGGGTACAACAGGGTCATTGGCCGGGTCCTATATACATTGGGACTTTCTTTTGATGAACCGATCACTCCAGGAACTTTGCCTATCTATTAGAAAGGACCCGATAATGGGTCATCCCACCCAACACCAGCTGATGGCGGGACTCTTGTGGTGATATCTCTTTGCAGGTCTGCCCATTACAAGGGATACCCGTCCTGCCATCACAAGGGAGACCCCTTCTGCCATTAGAAGGTACGCACACATCACGCCATCACTAGGGAGACCCATCCTGCCATCACAAGGGAGACCCCTCCTTCCATTACAAGGGAGACCCCTCCTGCCATCACAAGGGAGACCCCTCCTGCCAGCCCAAGGGAGACCCCCTCCTGCCAGCCCAAGGGAGACCCCCTCCTGCCAGCCCAAGGGAGACCCCCTCCTGCCAGCCCAAGGGAGACCCCCT